TACTCTCTCTCTCTCTCTCTCTCTTTCTCTTTCTCTTCCCTCCCAACACAGTCCATTTCCTTAATCACATGCTCCCCTTTATCTTTCTTCCTTGCTTTTCATCCAATAAGCCCGAGTCACTTATGTAGGGTAAATCCTCGCAGCATCACCACTTGCCGCTTCCTCCTGTCAAGCCTTGATTTGTGGAGCAGCAGTTCACTCACTCCGCAGGAAGGAGATGGAGAGACTGGGCGTCCACAGGAAGAAGAGCCCCAAGCAATCCAAGGCCAAGAAGACGCCCATCAAAGTGGTGTACATCTCCAACCCCATGAAGGTGAAGGCGAGCGTCGCCGAGTTCCGCTCCGTTGTCCAGGAGCTCACCGGCCAGGACTCCGACATCGCCGGCTTCTCCAAGTATCGCTCGGTGGACACCGATTCCGGCGATCCCCCTCCCTCTAACTCCCCCGGCTTGGCCGTCGAGTCAACCCGGGCAAACCCTAGCGGCACGGATCTGCTCTACGATGCGTGTCGAAGGATCACGAGCCCGGTGAGGGAGTTGGATGAGTACTTCGACGTCTCAGAAATGCGCGATGGTTTTGCAGAGTTCTCGCCGTCGCCGCTGCACTACGAGCCCCAAAGCCATGGCGTTCGTGATTGCGTCTGATGAAGCGCAAAGGATGCACAGGCGATCTCGCTAGTAAGTTTGGTTGTGCAACTTTTTCGATCTATCTCATGCTGTCGCTCAAATTTGCAGTCTTAGTACCAAAGGTGTGCATAGCTGTGTATTGTCTTAAGTAGGTGATTTTGTTCACTCTTGAAGTGGAAAATGGTGTGAAGATTAAGTGTGTTAGTAAGTTAAATGATTCTAAAGCTGGCAATTATAATGCTATTGGAGAATGGTCTTCGTGAATAATACAACCAAACTCATCAGTAGATCCAAGTATGGTTTAGGAAGCGAAAGTGTTACGGAGGGAAGAATCATCTCGCCAGGAAGGTTCATTGATGATCTATGGAGTCCAACTGGTATACGACACTAGAAATGGGAGGAGGTTAACAGATCTTGATCTTGACGTAATACTATGGAAACCTCATGTTGGATCTCGCAGACAACAATGTAGTACGTAGTGGTGAAGTCTAATTACCAGGTGAGGATTATAGGCACCAAAGTGTGTTCCTTTACGATCTAAGTTGGAAGTGGAATAAAGTTGCCTTGAAGCCTTCGTTCGATGGATGAAGACACCACAGGCATACGGCACTGATGACATCTCGAACCCCAAAGCTTGTGCAGGTCTAATTTTGTCAGCCTACTAAAGCTGTCCAAATAATATTGCTAGTTTCTCTGGGTTCCTTGTGTTGAAGTGGATGATGGTCTTTACTAGTGTTAGTGCCTTACAATAACAACACTCTTCATGTCTCAGTATCATGCATGGCAGATGGATCACTCACGTTGCTAGTTGCTTACTGTAAGACTTTACAGGTTATACTTACTTTTGTGTTTTGGATGGTTTATCATGGTTACTTAACTGCGTAAGCTAATTTTTTTTGTGTGAATCTGTCCATCAATGATGCGGCTCTTTGGATTTGCATACATTTATGTGAGAATTTAAAGTGGCTTAAGCTGCAGTGTGGAAGAGAAACTGGATCTTGTTTGTTGTTCTCTCTCCACTCATGACAAATATTTGGGTTACATGCATGATGCCTGTCGTTTTTCTGAGGCAGTGAGATGTAATGCTAAAGAGCATTGTGACATTGAGAGGATAAGTATCTGCAAGTTACACTTTCAGTTACCTAATGGTCCTCAAATGCAAGATCATCAACATGAAATGCTCAGAGTCTTTGAATGCATGCAATATGGAATGTCAACTGTGGAAGAACACGAAGGCTCTTCGATAATTGGTTGCTGGTTGACTTTGGCAAGTAGTCTATTGTTGTCAACTTAAGACTAAACCATTTATAGAGCGAAGGGGGTAGATTTTGCTTGCTTTTCTGACGCACTAACTTCTATGCAAGTGGAACTGGTTGAATGACAGAGAACAACAATTAATGTGATTAATAGTTAGATCTGACAACCTCTTTGCTTGCATGTGAAAGCCGGCAATGCCACACCCATGCATGTACTGGAGGAGTGCATAGTCATAGTTCGGCCGTATAGTGACTCCGTTGCGTCGAGGTGGGGGTTTGCTGGAGATGAATATCTGGGGTTCATTTATTGTACGGAGACAATTGTGATTATCGATATCAAATAATATTGTCTTAATTTTTTGGAATCGTTTCTAAGTTTTTTTTTAATTATATATGATGGTGTTAGGAGTTTAGTTGATTGGGCAACCGACTCATTAGAAATATCCAACATCGGTGTTGGAATAGGTACTTGGTCGATGGAAGGGACTGTACCTCTTGAGGTGTTAGATCCTGAGTTGGTAGGACTTAAGTGGCAGACTCAGGATGGGAATAGTAGAGTGAATGGGACTGATGATACTTGTTGGACAAGTTAGGTAAGTCGAAACAGATAAGGAGCCATAGATCGGATTACTTCGATTAATGGGACAGGTGATGCTTGTTGGACAAGTTAGATAAGTCGAAATAGATAAGGAGCCATAGACTGGATTACTTCGAATAGCATTTGTATTTATTGCATCAAGGCATTGAAAATTTCAATAGGCACAACTATGGTGGGTTGAGTTATTTGTTGATGTAGAGAGGTTTGGAGGAAAAGTCAGGTCTCGAAAGAGTAAGCAAAAGAGACTTGGTTCAAGCATTTGTGACGATGAATCCAAGCCAATCAACACCCCCGATCGGTTTGAGATCATTAAGAAGATTAGGGGGCTCGACAAAGGAGCATTCAGAGTCATTGGACAAGGTTTGTTTTGGGGATTCGATTCCTTGGAATTTGATCGATTAAGACCCGTAAAGTTTTCTAAAGACATGATCGACTCTCCTTCTTGCACTAATTTGTTAAAGCAAATTATAGTTGTCCAATTCTTCTTCTTGTTGACCTCGTGGAAACTTTATCTTGTTAGATGAAACTCGCAAAATGTGCCAAGGACACTTCCGACAAATGCCCATGCAAAGCTTAAGCCAGTAACTAGTTAAACAGGTCGAACTAGTCAAACTAAGAATGTGTGTCACCTAAGGATTCCTTTTTATAATGATCATTTTGAGCCATTACACCTATTTATTATGTTGTTCGAGCAATAATGAGAGACACTAAATTCCATCGAAACCATCACCACCCAACGTCGAACCCGGGATTGAAGAACTATCTCGACGTGATGCTCATTGGGGATGGCCACTTGGCTTTATTATGATTGTGCTGTCATCAAACTTCACAATAAAATTTTATAATTGTATCACTTTGGGTGTTCGATGATTCGCAAGAGCCAAAATGGTTGGTTAAAAGCAGACATATCTACATTTCCAAGTGATACATATTGATTAAGCATTAAACATCAAAGAGGTTCTAAACATTTAAGGATTCAAAAATACATCTAAAATTTTCTAGCTTATTGGCGTATTGGAGCATCGGTTATAAGCAAACCACATGGAGATCTTAAAATCGATGACAACTCTGAGTTAAATGGGTTAAAATTAACATACACGAGATTGAAATCAATTCGATGTTAGGTTACGTGCTAAGTGTAATCGCCTCTCTTAATAGTTAGCAATATGAAATTAGTCTTTAATCCTTCTTTTATCTCCACTTCAGACATAAATATTTGTTAATAAATCAGTATTTGCCTTTTTTTCTTAATTGCTACCGAGGCTATAAATATTGTCGTAACGATCATCATTTCTTGACATGAACAACTTTCGACGAACCGGCATTCATTCAATATTATTCATTTAAGACTTCAATTACTAGGAGAAATGGATTTTTTTTATCTTGAAGTAATTTCACATTGTTTGGAGATTGAAGGAATCATATAATATATATTGAATTTGGATAATTTGGTGTCTAATCTCATAAGTCCTTAACATTTTAACTCAATCTCAAACCAATATCAAGCGAGATGTTAAGAAAAAATTTGCATGTATGATAAAGATTAAAAGAAAACTAAAGAATAGTGTAGTCAAATGACATTTTATCGAGTTTGGCTCATAACAACTTCAGGTGCGGATTATATTTGTGTCCAACCTCATGTGTTACGATCCTGACGACGTTGACTTACACTCGGTTCGATTTAAGATCGACCTCACATACGCTTAGTTCCAACCCTTCATACAAATTAACTATAATATCATAGTAGCAACGACATGGAGCAACTCCAGCTAAGGTTAGGCAACTACAACCTAACACCACATTGACAAATTAATACCATACACGGGTTTCTCGACACCTAAAGTCCTGAAATGGTCTTCCTTGACCTCGCACAGAGCACACACCTAAGTTAAGTTGAAGAAGGGGACAAGGTCTGACCAATTGAAGATGCAGGTGACTTGCTTCTTCTGTTTACGAGCAGACTTTGCTGGTCGTATAGGACAAGTTGTATGTTTTGTTGAGCAGTTCTACTTGTCATCATTGACTAGATGATTGCTGGGAGTTCTAAGTCGAGAGACTTGGTGGGCAGTTGTGGTTGCTGGCTCTCTCTCTCTCTCTCTCTCTCTCTCTCTATTTCTATAAAGCTTTGTCATGGAGATTGAGATTGGAGAGGAGAAAGAAGGCAAGCAAGCAAGACGAAAGAAAGAGAGAGAGAGAGAGAGAGAGAGTTGTGGGAATGGGCCAAGTTATGTTGCTGTTCCTTGGGGTTTCTATGTGGCTTCTCGGCTGCCGTTGGATAACTCACTCAGGTAAAACTTACCTTCATTTTTTTTGTTCGATAAGCATTATTTTCTTTTGTTCTTGTTGATAGTTAAATATGAGTGAAGTTAAAGTTGAGAAACCAAGCGATTTCAACACTATACTGTTCAGAAATAGTATTTGCAAGTTTTCAATGAATGCAAAGGGCTAAGAGGAGACTTGCATGATAATTCATGGATTCTTAAGGCATTCAAATATGAAAATAAAAATTAAAAGTGAGGAGGAGGGTGATAGGACACACTAAATATGATTCTCACGATGAGTGAAATGCATCAAAGATTATGTCAAGATGTATAAGAAAATTTTAGTGAACTTAAGCAAAACAATGTTAGTCCTCATTAATCTTGCGTATGCGATTTTGTGTTTGTATAATATTATTTATTTTGTATGGTGTCAAGTTCTTCTTCCCTTTCATTTTCTCTTATTATGTTCTAACATAATAAAAAATATATATATTATTTTTACATAAACATAATAAACAAAGAGTATCGAACCAAATAAGTCTATCTCGGAGTTATGTTTCATCATGAATTCTCTAAATTATTTCTTCGATACGGAGGAACTTCTTCTCACGACAAATAGCATTTGCGGCAAAGCCATTAAAATTAAGATTGTGTGTACGTACCGATTGAAGCTGTCACTGTTCATACTGCAGCAGAAGCACTAGTCATCGGCGTAAACTATGGCTTGATTGGGGACGACCTCCCTTCCCCGGACAAAGTGATCGCCCTCTACACCTCCAGAAGCATCACAAGGCTGCGGCTGTTCAACCCCAACGCCACGGTCCTCGAAGCTCTCCAGGGTTCCGCCATCGAGGTTATCCTCGGAACCTACAACGAGGAACTCCAACGGCTCAGCACCGACGCCTCCTACGCCGCCGACTGGGTTCAGACCAACGTCGCCCCCTACGCGAGCTCGGTCCGCTTCCGCTACATCAACGCCGGCAACGAGGTCATACCCGGAAAGCTAGCCAGCTACGTCCTCCCCGCCATGCGAAACCTCGACAGCGCACTCAGGGCCGCCAACCTCCACGTCCCGGTCACGACCGCCGTGGCCACGCAGGTGCTTGCCGTGTCGTACCCTCCGTCTCAGGGCGCGTTCTCCGAGTCCGCGGCGGGCGTCATGGCTCCCATAGCGGCGTTCCTGCAAGCGAAGAAGAGTCCCCTTCTCGTCAACGTGTACCCCTACTTCGCCTACGCCGGCAGTCCCCGTGACGTCCGGCTGGACTACGCTCTCTTCACGGCGCAGGACGTCGTCGTGCGAGATGGCTCGCTGGGCTACACGAACCTGTTCGACGCCATGATCGACTCGATGTACGCCGCGTTGGAGAAGAGCGGAGGAACGGACGTGGACATTGTGGTGTCGGAAACTGGTTGGCCGTCGGGTGGTGGCGGCGTGGGTGCGACGGTGGAGAACGCGAGGGTGTACAACAACAATGTGGTGGCGCACGTCGCGGGCAGCGGTGGGACGCCGAAGAGGCCGGCGAAGGCAACGGAGACGTACCTGTTTGCCATGTTCAACGAGAACCTTAAGCCTGAAGGCACGGAACGCAACTTTGGGCTGTTTCGACCGGATATGAGTGAGGTGTATCATGTGGTCTTGTCTCCTTGAGGCAGATGTATAAAGAACAATTTGTTATCATTGATGTACTACTAGAGGATGTCTGACTAATAAATATACAATTGAATCTCATCTTTATTTACTACAGAATTTTTTTTTACTTTTAATTAAATATCTATTTATAATTAAAAAAATGTTTTTAATGTGTACAATTATCCTTATTTATTTTTTAATCTAATAATGATGTACCAAATATACTTATCAAAAATTAAGAACTTCATCCCATAAATGTGCTATCTAATTTAACACATTTATCGTCAGAACCAAAGGATAAAAAACATTGTTCATCTTTTGAGATTTCTTCCATGAATTCATACGAAGGTTGATGGTTGAAAAATCTCATGGGACAAATGTGTTTCGTCATGTCATAATATGTACTTGACTTGCTTGAAGTTGAAAATTCAAAATGATAAAATCTTAAAAATATTACATAGCTTACCTGATAAAAGATGGCAATGTTTTGGAATCAAATTTTATCTTTACCAATAAGCTTTGCAAAATAAAATAAAATAAATAGGAAGAAGATATTTGGAAACTGAATATGATCTAAAAGTTTAGATTCTCCTTTCTTTCACAAGTTACGACAAACATTAATCAAACAATAAAGAATAATTAAACTGATTCCTTTTCCACCAACCAGAGATCTCGAAGACGTTGCTGATACTACGAGTTTGCAGCTTGATGATGAGTTCCGTTACATATTAAGATAAGCTCGATTGCCATTCTATTTGCAAATAACTGCAATCAAACAATCCTCGAACACAGTTTAAAGCAGCTCGACGATGCTCCAATAATGGATTCGCAGCACAGTCTTGCTTCGTTTTCCTTGGCACTCTCCGTGAGACACTCTTCCATTTTGATTCAAACTCACAAGCTGCAAGGGAAGCAAGCAAACAGTGATTCGAGGAAGTCCAGCAAAACACAATGAATAAAGTAACAAAGTTTTGGTCCCTCAACTTGCAATGATGTAGCTAACTATGAAAAATAGGGAGAAAATATCACTGCCCACCGCATAAATTAGTTTCAGTTTCCATCCCAAGTAAGGTGGAATTAATTTCTTACTGATGTTCTACAATCATTGCAAACAGTAAGGACAAACTTCTAATAATAACAAAATGTAGTTTTTTTCCAGGATTAGCAAGACAAATAATTACCAAAATATAAATTTTAGATTATCGAAGCAGCAATACTTCTAGTTCAATATTCTGACGTTTGATTGCCCATTTTTTACTTGGAATTTTTACTCCTTATCTGTTGAAATTACAATAAAACACTAATAAACCTTGAATACTGCACCACAGTGAACCTACAATGACACAGAGTACTTGCACCGGTAGTAACAAGTAACTAGCAAGGCTACTGAGATTTTTGTTGTCGAGTTGAAGTAGGTGGCCCAGCTTACTGCAATAGTTCATTCTGATTCAGACAATTTCAGCTATCGAATAGAGCATAGTGCTTCATTGTCTGGAGAGTAGCGCTATGGAAACTGCTAATGAGTTTTCTAATGGCACATAAGCTTAGTGGAATTTAGTTATAAGACTTTTTTAACTCTCCTGATAGGAATAATCAATAAATGGCAAATAGTCATAGACCAAGATAAAATTCTTAACAAAGTCACAAGCTTTAGTGAAATATTTTAGGAATCTTTCTTTCAAAGTAATTTTTTAAGTTCCAACCATGGCGATCCCAGTGATCTCAGCTAGACAATCATTTTTGTCCAAAGACAAATGATGATCATCTCAACTACTTTATTCTTCTGATATTGAGCCTGCTCTTAACTGAGAAACCCCATGAAGTTGGGAGGAGCTTGATCTTAATAAGTAGAATGTATATCCACATTCTTCAAGTTATCAGAAAGGACGTGGAGTCAAATATATATGAATGATGAATACTCAGAGGGGACTGATTTTGTGACTAATCATCTTTATAGAGAACACGTGAAGAAGATGAAATGAACAAAATGTGCTCAGTGATAAGAAGACAAAAATGAAGAAACAAAGCTCTTTACCTTCACTTCGGTCCTTAAATCCTCGAATAATACATGCAAGGGTCCAAGGCCTTCCAGCAGAGCATGCTTTTGCTCCACCTTTTAATATGCCATTATGTTGCTTCAATCTGCAGAATTGTTGGCAACTTTAAATAAATTAGAAAATGACGGTGACACTGAAAGTAACCAAATCACAGCATTGATTGGCATATATTTTTGTCATATAGAATTGTTACAGGTTAAAGGGCATGCAAACTATTACTTCAGGATTATAATAAATTTAAACCTATAATGAAATTGCAAAATATTATGAAATTGACGACTTAAAATGGTTATCCATTCTTTACATTTATGATGCAGTCTAACTAATATTGAAAAAAAAAAAAAATTCTTTGCTATTCGAATGAAGATTACAGTCCCTACACTCTCAAATAGTTACTTCTTCTAATGTGGTTACAGAACTTACTATCAAGTGCAACTAGTCCAAGGTGGTTGAACACAGCATAAACAAATTTATGCAAACTTCAATCTAGCCAATTTTCCTACCATGGGACTAATCAATGACCAAAAAGGAGATATGATCGAATCAAATTCCAAAGTTTGTCATCAGAATAATAACTATTTTACTGAAGATGAGTTTCCTAATGTTCACCTAGACCATTTATGACATCCAACTCTCACAAGCTAAGTCAATACCTTAATTTCTAAGGTAGCCTAGTACTTTCTATGCCATAAATAAATAGTTACTTTCATAAGGTCCATAAATATAAGCTGACAAAAGTATAAACAACAAGCTTTTAAGAACTTTCATGGGGTTGATTAATGACCAAAGTCTCTAGGAAGTAAAAATGTGTACTGATTTTAAAATTGTTTTTCAAGCCACATCATCCAACCTCCCTAAAGGGGTGAACCCAATGATGAGGCTCCTGCACCAATATAGGATCTAGAAAGGATCAACATATGCAACCTTACCAGTTATTTTCATGGCTCAAACTGTGGTCACCTAGGTCACAAAAAGTAATCTTATCAGTGTACCAAGATCTATCCTCATAATCTGACATCTAACCGTACACATCTAATGAATGAGACGAAGTAAACAAACATGTTTAAGCATAGTAGTTGCTAAAGACTCCACCATTAATGATTTTTTTTTATTTCTTAGAATGGTCAATAAAATAAGCATGACAGCTCACAAGCTCATTCTACATTCATAATCTATGGAGTGAAATTATCCATCACAACAATGGGGAAAATGACCATCGTTGTGCAAGGTAGCAACCAAATGCTGACCTCCCACCAGGCAGAAATGCTCTACCATCCAAGGAAAGGACGATAGCAGGAACACTGAATTTTTATTTTTAATAAATTGTGCTGAAATAGTAAGCTTTGCTTATTCAATCATTCATGTGCACATATATGGTTGTTTCTTCAAGCAAAGCTTCTAAAAGTTTAATGCATTCTCTGAGCTACAATTCTTTTCATTCTAGCCAAATAGCCTTTTAAGATTTTGGCCTTGCTAATTCAAAATGGCTATATTGATGCTCCAACTAGAAGATCTAGATTTCATAAAATATAAGCACCTGATATGACAAACAAAAAAGAACCATAATGTGATTTGGCTTATGAGAGCCAAATTACATCAATGTAAATTTTCTGCGGCTTTAAATTTCACTGGTACTAAATATGCTTTTTTTTGCTGCAAGCAGCAGTTTTCTGCAATTTGGAGCTATCCAAGTCCAGATTTGATCGGTTTGATTGTGTACATGACAGACCCTTAGTTACAGATCCTCAATTTAATTAACATAAGAGAATCAATCTAAATCAATATCAAGACCAAATCATTCAAAAATAACAAGTTGCAGATCTCCTCCTTGCAAAATAGGAAGACCGCCGGAGCTCCTATCAACAAAGACAGATCATTGACACAAAAGCACATACTTTTCATGTCCATCATTTGACATAGAAGAGCACATCAATTTCCTTGTCAATCAACCGCAACACAATGGTTTCAGATGATGCTACAACAGGTCCATCATTTCAAAAAAAAAACGTTTCTCATGGAGATCTCATAATCCATAATCAAGTCATGAAGTTTCCACAACAGTGCAAACGCATATCATACATCCGGATCCTGTGGCATGGTCAATCTAGTATGATTGAGGTAACACACACTGAAGTTGTGGACAAAATTGGAACATGACTATAATATAAATTCCAGTTAAAATTATCAAGATTTTCATTCAAATATCTAACAAGCTTTCTTTTAAGGAGAAAGCTATATTAAGATCTCAAACGAATAAATACATCCGTCCACTCTATTATCAGAGGAGATCAAAACCTCCAAACCAGAAGGGAGTTGTCCTTCCCGAAACATGTCAGATTTGGTAGCACGAGCAAAATTAGCAATTCTACTTTCCTCAAAGCCATTAATTCCTGGAATTACATTGCTAATATCGGGCAAGCGTTTGATCCACAACGTTAGCAACCAAATGGGGGCGTTAAGGTGCGAGTTATTTCAGCTAAATCAATCGAAACCCCCCACCCCAACAAATGAGAAAGGAAGAATAGAACAATACCGGCGTAAGAAGTTGGTGGTGACACCCACATAAGTCCGCGGCAGGCGAGATGAGACGATCAGATAGACGGACCACCCAACGTTCTTGGGACGCTGCTGTTTTCCACCTCTCTTCTTGTTGTGGTGGTTGCGGAGGAGGGAGGATGAGGTCGAGGACAACGAAGAGGGCGACAACGCCGTGGAAGAGGTTGGCGTGCTTTTGGTGTGAATTGGGCGAGAACCTTTTACGGATCGAAGCGTGGACGAAAGCCTCATCGTCGTTGATGGCCGTGCGACGGAAGGACTTGGCTTTGTTTTGGGGAGAACTTCCGTGGCCTTGTGGGAAGCCAAACCACAAAAAGAAAATGATGCTGGGAAGGTAATGTCAGGAATAGCGCGCTATCGCAACTGCGTTATTGATCCGACCATCGTTTTAATAATAAATAGTATATATATATAACTTTTATAATTATGATAATATATTTGGAAAAAACTTCGCCTGGTTGTAATTATGAAAATTACTTAGAAAAGGGGCGATTTTTCCTAAATAAATAAATATACATTTGACCTTTTAGACGATTTTGTATTAAATTAGATCAAATTGAATCGAGCCAATCTGATTCGATCTTCTCCTCTTCTAGAAGGGAGGAAGAGGAGGGCAGCCCATGGGTCACAACTTGAACCGGGGTTGACCTGAATCATTCATTGATCAAATCCGTTTCAAGAAAATTTGAAGAAAAAAAAAGATTGGAATGGCGGAGTAAATATAAATTTTATAAAAATACACTAAAGCAAATTTTCAATAAACGGACATCATCCGAATTAGTGAATTTTTTTTAGGTTAATTTCCCTAATAATAATTTGTTATGATATGTGATAAATATTATTCTTTGATTTTTTTTTCTTTATTCTTTACTCTTTCATCTTTTTTTTATCCCTCCTCTTCCACCTTCCCTTAGTTTTCCTTTTTTTTATTTTTTATCAAAAAAACAGAGAAAATTATATTACTTCAAAAAGATAATACATCATGTGCCTTATAATAATAAATCATCATCCATCTAAAATTGGACCTAGAAGTCCCAACAAAAATTAAATCAGAAAGGATTCCAACATGATCAACTCCAACAATGATTAATATTTTCCATGGAGATCAAGTTTATAGCTCATCAATCAAGCAACCCTTTGGTCCTTCCTTGATGTCTATCGTAACACCCCTTGTTCTCATTAAATCTACCTTCTGCCAAACCATAAGTGTCATTAGAGAATCTAATAATAAAGTCCAATCCATCAATCTGTCGTTATTACATGAAATAAACCATCAGTATTATGTCACTCATATTTTCATATCCATGTAATTATGTTTGTGGAAGAAAAACGAATCATTGCTTTACTAAAATTAACATCCAAACAAGATTTATCCAAACAAATTGCCCCCTTCAACCTCTTTTTCTATCATTTTTCTCTGTTCGTCATGTCTCTCTTCTCCTCTATCTCTGCTTTTGTTTTGCCAGTGCAATCATTCTCATCCATCTTCTTGTATCATCTTCTACTTTTCTCGCTCTCTTTCACCCTTTTCTTTTTCTTCTATCGGCAGATCTTTCCCATAACTGAAAATTTTTACAAGCACTAAGAGGCTGCCATGGGATTACATCATTAGCTATCACTATTTAGTAACATGGCCAACAGCTATTAATACATTATAAAGATAATGACCGACCCCTCTTTATGTAGAGAAAAGACTGTTGATCCTCCCTTACCCTGGAATGACAGGAAGCTTGTGCACTGCACGCTCTTTCTTACAATGACTGGCTGAAAGAAAATTAGGTTTAAGCCTTACGGCAGTGTATCCTCTGCAGACAGTTCGCAATCCTCTTGTGAAGCAATTTGATGCATGCTGCTGCAGGGAAGTTGCCATTGTATCAGAAGTATTTCTTCGTTGAATCTGTGTATAATGATGGAGCGTCTTCCCAATGCATGTAGGTTTGTGGCTTTATATATGTACATGATCTGTGCAATGAACTGGAGAAATATTAGAAGTCCACACCACTGTTAAACTGAACAGAGAAGGAAGGCCTGCCAATAGAGATGACGGGGGTTTCCACTCTAATAACTATTCCGGACTTCCCAGCATTTCCATTCCACTTGGATCTCCCGAACTGCGAGTTGCAAGGATAAAAGCATATATTAGACCAAAACTAATCTTGTCCTTCTTAACATGTTGGTTAATACTTCGAGGGAAATCAATACAGTGCATGATGAGCATTGAATGTTCCCAAATTTGAAGACAATAAATTTCAAGCTCATTCCTATCAAATTTCAAGAAAATGATTTGTGCTCGACTCTTAGTAAATTGTAACTCATTAATTAGGTGGTTGAGGGATTCAATGTACAAGGGATTTATAAAACGAGAAGGAAGGAAGATTGGTGGGGCATTCTTGTTTTTGAAACCTTATCAAACTTATGTATTTTGAACTACTAACTCTTAGTTATCTCTTGAAAATGAGAAAGTTCTCTTTTTGTTTCTCTCATATCGCACTTCTTTTTTTCGCTCTTTTCTTCTCTCTTGTTTCACATCAGAAATGCACGATATGCAGTAACTTCAAAAAAGACTCCTACCACTTCTATCTATGAGAATTTCAAAACCACAACCAAGAACAATTAACTTACAGCTATAGATGCAAAGGCAACTGGATGAGACATAACAGAACAACCGCAGCTTAGACTAAGTCTCTCGTCCATAGAACGTATGAGCTCTGCTTGCAAACCAGGATTGCTTCCTCCAAATGTGGGGCATAAGCTGGCAATAAGAAAAGAACTAAAAATAAGTGAAATAAATTATGCTATGTGAAAATTTAGCTAAAACTTCAATCAGATTACAATTTCACCAACGACAATTAGCACACTGAGAACATACAAAAGGCCGGTTCATATGGCACAAAAGGATTTACTGCTGGGGTATGGCAATTCAGGCATGATCCATATATTGACTGATGTCACTTTGGTTGTATTAAGAACAGTAAGTGCAACCAAACTAAAAAGACCCACCAAATCTTAGTAGGGAATAATTTTATCAAGCACCATAGCAATAAAGTTAGTGATACATCTATCATTCCAAAATAGGGTGTACCCATTGCACGAGGTCTAGGGAAGATCAATGATTTATCTGTCATTATATTATACATTTATTTCCAGGTGGTGACAGCATATGTATGGAAAGGGTGTGCGGTAGCATGAATTTCCATCATTATAGCCTAAATTAAAAAACTACATCATAAACCTAAATGAGTATCCTGCAAAAGTTGGAAAGGAATATTAAATCAAGTTTTGCAAATAAACCAATCTAGACCAAACTAAG